ACAGGTGTGCATGGAGACAGTTGCCTCTAGGGATTTTCCTGATTTTCTGCTATCCTACATTATTTATTTGTTTAGCAGATATGTTTGGTTTTTTTTTGGAAATCTTAAGGATATCTCAGGGGTCCGTGCTCTGAAAAAACTCTGAGCAGCTGCTAGTGTGACCGTCATGCCGCTACATCAGTCCAGCAGCAGGACAGTGATACGATTCATTCATAAATAACCCGTCACCCTACAGAGGTGACAAGCCACGGTTAAGTGAGGACAGAGGAGTGAGGCGTCTGCCCGCTAAATATCATCAAACCGAGAAAAGGGAAGAATGAGAACTGAAAGGCTTTCAGTGACAAATCAATAAAAGCTCAGTATGCTCCTGGCATGCTTTTGGTTCAGTGGACAGTTTCAGGACACATTTGTAAGAGATGCTGAACCAGAATTTCTGGTCTCCGAAGCTACAGGTAACAGCTGTGACATTTTCATAGCGGTATGTTAAACTCCTGACAGCAAATGCAGAGCCAGATGTTAAAAGAGCATAAGAATCGCTTTGTAATTCAGGCCATTGCTCTGAAGGAAATTGCTCTGGAAGTGTTAATGACCAGACTTAGGTTTCCCTAAAGCCAGCAGTGCATGAGCATGAAACATATACATTCATCTAACCGTCAGATAGTTTGTCATTATCACTCTGTCAAACTGTTATTATTAAGCTGCATAAATGGTACGTTAGCTGTGTCGGAGCATGAAGCCAGGCTGCGTACGTCGTCGGAGCGGCATTCGAGCTGAGTGCCAGTCGGCCTGGCAGTCTCGCTCCAGCAGAGTCCAGCTTACTCACGTGGGTGTCAGTCAGTGCCGTAATCTCCGTCAAGCACGGACTCAGTAAAGCTCGGGAATCACAGTCAGGCTCAGGCGTCCCGGACGAGTCTCAGCCAGTTTGACGAAATGTGTTGACGTTCTTGCCGAGTTAGAAGAGCAAAGCTAACCTTTCCTTCACCACTGAGTGCTCAGTCAGTATTAAAACCCCCACATTACTGACCTACCTAATGTCACGCTCCCCACTAGTGATAGTCACCTAATTCATCAAGCTCACCATCTCATACACGGCTGTCAATTCATGCCATATATTTCACTTTCCTGTTCGTTTCAGCTCCCTCCCCCACAATGGGATGTAGCAGCCCCCCCACCGTCGCCCTGCTCCGCTTTCTCCCCAGGCACTACAGGAAGCAGGAAGGAGACTTTGAAAAGCACCTGCTACATTACCCCCACTCTCCAGATGCTGTGCGAGACCTAAATCACACTTGGTCAAACATGACACCGATACCTCGGAGCGTCCGGAGCTAGCGGGGTCCTCTGTGTCCCTCAGGACCGTCTTAAGTGTTGCGTGAAGGTTAGCAAGTGGATGCCTGCTCAGTCACTCTCATGGCCATCTGGTGTCACAGCTGAGCGTCAGAGTATACGCTATTCACAAATCACAAGTTGGATGGTAATACCCAATGGAGTACGACACCATGTGACACGCCAAACGTGAATGCCAATGAAGACTGATGGCGATGTAACAATGCCCAATCAGCTGCATATATTTCTCACAGATGTTCCTGTATCTTATACATCTGAGCACTGCTAGCCAGTGCTTTTCTTGCCAGGAGCATGGTCGATGTTTTGCATGTATGACGGCTGATTAATCTGGCAAATCTATAAATAGCAGATGATATCAATTCATTTACATAAGAGATGTACTACATAAGAGGCTTCTTTGCATGACCTGTCTGATGATACGGGCTGTGTTCAAAACTGTGTGCTGCATACATCGTACTGTATACCGTAACCCCTATACTGTGTCAGTGTAGTATCTGTTATGCCAGCTTTTTTGTAAGCGTTTTATAGCATGATATATTTTTACATGACGCCGTTGCGATCCTTTTAAATCCGTAATGACCATTTACAACAGACAAGGAATGATTTTTCAACCATTATGCGGCAATAACTTGCCAGTCGTGCCGTGGAAAATGATCAAATTCTACAAAAAAAACTTACTACAAATAAAATGATTGAAAACTAAACCGGTAGCTTATTCAGAGTGTCACATCTGTTAAGCCCTGCGTGTATGGAAAGGACAGGTACATTGGGATGTGTAGTTATTTACAGGGACTGAACAGAATTACAAATTCAGTCAGGACAAACAGCTACAAATTCACAAATTACAAAAGAATGTACCACTTTAATATATACATTTCAAATAAATGTAAATAGGCATTAACACAGAATTACACCTAGACAAAGGATGGTTACTGTTGTCTCACACATCTTGGACCAGGGTTCGAGTCTCCACCATGTATGTTCTCCCCGTGTCGGCGTGGGGTTTCTTCTGGGTACTCCGGATTCCCCCCACCCTGAGGCCGACTGGAGTTGCCAAATTGCCCATAGGTGTGCATGTGTGAGGTGTGTGAGTGACTGGTGTGTGAGTGACTGGTGTGTGAGTGTGCTGTGCGATGGCCTGGCAGCCCATCCTGGGTCGATACCTGCCTTGCACACATAGGATCCAGGATAGGCTCCGGACCCCCCCCCCCGCAACACAGGATAATATAAATAAGTGCCTTGTGCCTTGCCTATGGGAAATGTGAGCAGCTATCATTAGCTAGCTCACTGATCCGTGTAAAACTGCTGATTCATTTGGTCCAATTAGTCTGACTTTGGTTCGTTATACTTTGCCCCCTTTTAAAATGATAATAACAATAATAATAGTGATAATAATAATAATAAAGAAGTATCAGAAATTGATTTTTATTCTGAGACTGTGTCATGTCCTGCCATCGTGCATCAAGCACCCCGTGCCTGCACCGGTCGGCCGCTGCATTGAGACTTATCTTTCAACCCCTGTATTAGCTTAGTCATATCATCTTGTTTTGTTTGACTCATCTGCCGGCCCCTGGAGGATGGGCTCCCCCTTTGGGTCTGGTTCCTCCCAAGGTTTCTTCCTCTTAGGGAGTTTTTCCTTGCCACCGTTGCCTTTGGCTTACTCACTGGGGGGTCCTTACGAGGCAGAAATGTAAAGCGCATTGAGACAATGTAATGTTGTGATAATGCGCTATATAAATAAAATTGAATTGAATTGAATTGAATTGAATGTGCCGTCTGATGATGTAATATTATGTGAGCCATGAAATCACTTCCTATGTCGTGAGCCGCATGATGCTTTTGCTGTTTTTTTATGGACTGCTTCATGTTGTAACTGGTTCCTTTAAGCAAGATGTCTGTCGTCATGTGTCTGTCTGATGACGTCCCTGAATGTTTCCCAGGGGCTGGCCAATCCCTTAAAGCTCACTCCATGTGCCAATCTGTGCAGCCGTTGAAACTCGTTGGCTGTAATTGCATTTAAGAAAATTGATTTGTCTCAGAGTTCATGTTATAAAAGACATTTTCTTGCTGTAATATACTAATTACTGACATGTTAAGTGTCTGTACTGTACAAAACCTTGTGGCAAGTGAATCTATGCTGGTTGGATAGTATTGTTTTGTAGTCTTTTGGATCCGATCTAATCTTCCCCCAGAAAAGCAGCACAATTTAAGAAAGGTGAAAAAGAGTTAAAAAAGAATAACAGCATTTAAGCTAGCCTCGTGAAAATTCACCCTATGGAAATTTTTTTCATTTTTATATTACACTTAAATAAGTGACTGCTGTTTCCTTTGATGATTTCTGTGTCTTATAGTGGCAGAGGTTTTTATTTGCAGACAAATAGAGAGGGGGAATGAGGCGACAAGCCATCGGCTTGATGGTGCCGGTCCACTGACGATCCGCTTCTGTTTGAGTGATGCTCAACAGAAACAGATTCATTGGTTTAAGCTGAAAAGGTACAGACTGCCTGGTCAAGATCACTCTGCTGCAAAAGATTTATATTCTTCACGATAAGAGCTTGGCCTTGAAATGTCTGCAGCCACATGTAGCACTAAATTCTTGAACAAACCTGCCTTCATGCTTAAACAGGGAATCTGCATGCAGTATAGTCCAGTGTAGATGAGTATGTGTGAGTTTGCCATACTGAGCATGTCTATAGAGTATAGCTCAGTCTCAGGGTGTGACTGCAAATCCGGTACAGTTTGTTCACACTGTGTATGTAGATGGAGCATAGCTTGCCCTCACTCTCTGTGTATGGGCTTAGTTTATTTTATTTTATTTTATTTTACCAGGCAGGACTTTAAGGACCTTTCCTTATTTACAATAACAGCCTGGCAAGTGCCAGAAAACACTAATTGGGGAAGAAAAAAAAGGAGGCTTACTTGACGGGGCATAAATATAGTATTTTACTGTTACTTATGTATTAATTAACCACAAACTAAGTGTTAGTTACATACTGATCTCATGTTTGTTCATTTATTCAATTAATGAATCGTGACAAATGTTTTATCTGAAGCAGTTACTATATTTGTTACTATATCTATAATTCTGTAAACCTTTGTGAACTATACTGAAGGAATTACTCAGTGTGCAGGTAACATGAGTGAAATACTGATCTCATGTTTGTTCATCATTAATGAATCGTGACCCATCTTTTATCTCAAATAGCAACTACATTTGTTCATGATTTGTTCATAATTTGTTCTTCAGTTGTAATTGAGTTTTTGCTATATCAATGCAGTCCATTTTTAAGTATTTGTGCCCCATCAAGTGTTACCAGAAAATCAAACAAATAAATTAATTAATTAAATTGAAGTGGAACATCTACAAGTGTCATTAAACATGTCCATAAATAAGCCCTTAAAAGCAGTAATTGAAATAAATTCACTGTGTGTACGTACAGTAGCGTAGCTTAACCTCGCTGTCTGTACGTAGCATAGCTTGCCGTCACTCTGTGTGCAGGTATATACAGTAACGTAGCTTGTCCTCACTCTGTGTGCGGGTATATAGCGTAGCTTGCCATCACTCTGTGTGCGGGTATATAGCATAGCTTGTCCTCACTCTGTGTGTGGGTATATAGCATAGCTTGTCGTCATACTGTGTATATACTCCTGTGTAGGAGGCCGTGACAGGGGGAGCCCCAGCCCAGGACCCATGAGCCCTGTGGAAGATGCACACTGCCTGGGCGCCTCTGCTCTTCCTGGCCGCGTGCATGAGGAGCAGCACCTCCAGCCCTCTCTCCTTCCGCATTGGTGAGTCCCTAATACCCCCACCACCACCATGCCAGGGTCACAGCATGTCACCCTCCACTGCTAACATCAGCAAATGCTAAGCCCAAACAGTCATCGTGTCCTGCAGAGATGCCAGCGAGTAGGAGGACACAGGTACTGACCCAGGACTGGGCTTGACAGGAAGTGGTTATCAGCCTCCTCTAGCAGTCTCTCCACTCCATTCCTCACAGCGGTTACCTGGTAACAGGAGCGAGGCCCCTCTGATAGGACCCCAGAGTTGATGGGGTGTGGAGTCTGGAAGACTCAGATACAGAGAGCACCTGAAACCTTGGGAGTTGTTGACAGCCATATTGATCTCTTCAAGCCAGGGTTTATTGAAAAGCTCATTTCATTTAATTAAAAACAAGATGAAGCATCGCACCTTCAGCTCAGGCTGCTGAATCAGGGATCAATTACGGAGAACCCAGTTCACTCCAGCACAGCCGGTGTTTTGCTTCCAGTGTGTTTGCAAACATACCACATCTCTTCATTGTTGAGATATATTCCTTCTCAGTTTTTTCATTTTGATATTTTCATTGAGATGCCTGAAAAGCCTCACCTGTTTTATTCTTACCTCTTTAGTTCTCTTCTTTATGGGCCGTTCAGGCTGATTTACATGGCAAGATGGCGTGCACCAGTGGCCATTTTAGTAGAGATGTCACTATCCACTATATACAGTGGTACCTCAGTTCTCAAATTCATTAGAACTCGAATTTCTTAAAAGTCGAACCAACTAATTAGCTATAACTCGATCTGAATCTCAGAAGTCGAACCGTGAACGCCGACCTAAGATAACTTGTACGTGGGGGGAAATGAGTCATGCGACACGTCTCTCAGTGGAAACAAAGGGTAACGCTTCAGTCTCAGCCTCGCATTCACTGTGATAGCACCGTGCATGTTTACACTAGCTGAATACATACTGTATACAGTATTTAGACAGTAAAAATACATTGACAATGATACACAGTAACAGTAATTATTATTATATATAATAAAATACATTTAAAAATAAAGATTTCTTATTAATTAATTTAATATTAATAATAAACCATTAATACATTTCATTATAATAATATTGTTGTGCCGAGCGGGGAAGGAATGGAGACAAAGGCGCAGACGTCAGGGTATCGGGGAATACGGGGTTTAATTACAGGTAAGGCAAGCAAAACGCAGACGGACAATACAATGACCGGACTGGGGAAACAAACTGAAACACAGACTAAATACTGAGGACTAGTGACAACAACCAGAAACAGCTGATCACACGGGGATTCCACACGGGGTTAGCGAGGGGGCGTGGCACACGGAAGGAGTGGACGATCGGGGCAGGACACATTGTTTGGATACATTTATTTTCTTACTTTACAAATTACTGTTTTGATAAATGTGCTTAGATGTGTTTAGTACAGTATATGCTCTTCTTGTTTTATCTGGTTCATTTTGTGTTTAAATGCTAAAAAAACATATTTAGGTGTAATTTTTTGTGGCCGGGAACCAATTAACTGGTTTTCCATTATTTCTTATGGAAAAAATTCAATCACAACTCGAACTTTTTAGGATTCGATCCGGAGTTCTGAACGGATTAAATTCGAGTTCTGAAGTACCACTGTACTCCAATCAGATCTAATCCATTTGGTATTTATATATGCCGATTCCGAGTCCTGATTGGATCTTTTAATAAATATGTAAATAACATACAGATACAGTAGAGTATAGGGTAAGCCTTGTAATATCGCAGTATTCTTCCTTATGATGCTTCTGCAAGAGACGTTTATGACCCTTTTGGTGTTCTATAGAACCCATCCTCTCTGCGTGCTCGCTCAGCATTAAATTATTAAATTGCACGCGTATGCATTCACAAACAGAAAACCCATCCTCTCTACACACTCGCATCTGCTCAAAACTCAGTCCCTCGACAGGTTCAGTTTTGAAACTTTGGAGGCGGGAACAGTGGCTGATTTCTCCACTTCATTGATTGGTCACTTTGAATCCTATGACTGGCTGTTTGCTTTGGAAGAAAATGAAGAAGATGATCACTGACCAGTTGATGAGAGAACAGCCAGTTTCACGCTCTGTCATGGTGTCGGGGTATGGAACTCTTAGTTAACAGCTTTCAGAGATGTTGTTTTAATATTGCACGTTCGGGGTGGTAATTGGAATCATATTTATGTGTGTGTACTTAATTAAAGCAGCGCTTGAAATTCAGCGCAGGATTGCTGGAATTTCCCACTTCATCTTACAGTATATAAAAGTCACTGCAGAATGGGCCACTGTACAGTAAATTTCATTGTGAACAACAAGGCATCTTTCTTCCTACAACATCACAGAACCAGTTTAAATCCTGGGGGCAGTGCTCCCCTGATATTAGTTATATCTCGGGCTAGTGTTAGAACCGAGGAGAAGTTGGGTTAATATCGCACTTTCAGGTATGTTATCAAAGTGCGCAGAATTAATGTGTAATATGTATGAGTGTGTGGAGAGGTTGGGTTCTCTGCCGAACGCATATGGGCACATGGGTTTTTATGTTCTGAGACTAATTAAATGCTATCTAAATGACACTCTGTTGCTACCTTGTCTCGCAAGGATGGCATTACAAACATTGCAGGAAGCTGTTGGCTACTCTGAGTTTCCGATTTAAAGAATTTCCACACGGCTGACATCTTGTTAATTTTAAGCCGTGTGCCTCAGGCTTACTGTAGCAGGTGACAGAACCATACAATCTGCGCAACTAACGTAAATTGGGCGGGCACAGGAAATGAAGTAGGTCGGCCTTTGGATCGGGTTGTGGTAGGCGATACTGATCAATTAAAAAATACCTGGATCGGCCCCGATCACTGCAATTTAGTATTAACGGTCAGGTGTGCATTACCATTAGCTCTCTGTTAGCATTAGGAGTTGCCTCAGGGTCAGGTATACATTTACACCAGGACTGCATTAGAATTAGAGGTTGCTCTGTGGTCAGGTGTACATGAGCAGCAGCTCTGTGTGGGGATTAGAGGTCCCTTCAGGGTCAGGCGTAGATCCATCAGGTCAGGTCTGTATTAGCATTAATGGTTGCCTCAGGGTCAGCTGTGCAGTAGTATCAGGTCTGTATTAGTGTGAAAATTTGCCTCAGGGTCAGGTGTACATTAACATCAGGTGTGTATTAGCATTTACGATTGCCTCAGGGTCAGGTATACATTAGCATGTTTTGAAATTAGCGGTCGCCTCTGGGTCAGGAGTGCAGTAGCCTCTGCTTTGTATTAGCATTAGCAGTTGCCTCAGGGTTAAGCTGTGATCATGTAGCTTTAAGTTAGTATCCGTGTTAAAGCTACATATCTGCCTATTTAGCATATTTATTTCTTTAAAAGCAGGAAGGTGCTTTAGGGGAAATTTGCGGTAACGCTGTCTGTTCTCTGCGATCTAACTGTCACCCATGTGCGCAGAGAACCCATGTGCTCTCGGGCAAATGCAACATTTAACGCCACTCGTACGCTGAAGAAATACAGGTCTTTAAACCACCCAGCAGACGCTGCTCCTTTGCTCATATATCCTCCAAAGGTCGAGGCAGAAGTTTGTTTCCCAATGTCATATTTTACCAGTTGCCCTGTATGGAAATCTTTGGACTGTAGTGTCTGTGAGCGATGAGGTTTACTGCCACCGATTATCATTTCAATACGCAAACACATAAAGGACGTACGAATATAAATTGTCGTTTAATTTAGAATGTGTCCGTGAATACGGATGCTATCTGGAGGTAACATATTGGATGGGGGGGGGGGGGTTTAAAGGAGGTGAAGGCAGTTAATCAGCTCCATCTCTGCTGTCCTGTTCCCCCTCCAGCCTCAATTCAGGAGCTTAAATTGTGAATGTTTGGAACAAAGATGGAAAAAAATATATATTCCTATATTCCTCCCAGCACCATATCTAACACGAAAAGTTTAAGGCTGTTACGAGGCCAAATGATACACCACCCTACCTGCTCGCCATCACTCTTTAGAAGTGCCCATTACTCTCTCCCTTCATGATAACTTCACTTTCCATTTATTTTACCTTCTATTTTTCCTTCTTTTAAGTTGTTTTATATTTTCCAGAGGTAATACACAGAGGTGATTTACAGAGTCTGTTTTTTTTTTCCCTCATTGACGAGAAACAGTTACTTCTATAACATACAGTTGCAGTTGCTATCCTGTAAATAATATTTTCAAACACTCATGGTTGCCTAGTGGGATTCCTGATGAGCTTGAAGAAGTGCAAATGTCTCAGGATGCAGGTGGAAATCAAGTCACCTGTCACCTTGACAGCGACGCGGTCCGTTACATACACGAGAGCAGGCCATTCCTTTTCCCGGCTTTCCGTCTCACGCCATCGCCTTCCCTCAGGAATGACTTCCTCACCTGATGCCGTTACGCGAGAAGTGTTGCGCACTCTTACATCAACCTCACCTCCACCTGGCTGTCGCCGGGCCTCACATGGAATTCACCCTTGAAATATTCATTTCCGTTTGCTGGCAGCGGGGGCAGGTAATACTGTGCAAACTTTCAACTAAATGAAATAAGCGATGAGCAAATGGTGTTACGCACCCCTCCCACACACATCCTTCCCTGCCCCTCTCTGCTCATATCAAAGATTTTGACTTTGAGATGTGCATAATCTGTGATGCATGGGAAATTATGTCACCGGGGGCAGATATTGGCACCCAGACTTCTTCATTTGAGGACTGATGCTCGTCGGACACCCTGACCTGAGCTTTTTTGTTTTTGGTTGGTTGGGGGAGGCAGATATCAGTGATGTTACTGTACCAATACCAATAGCAATTTATTTATAAAGCACTTATAAAAACAACCACTTGGCTGACCAAAGTGCTGTACATCATATAACAAATACAAATATAAACACAACCAAAAAAACACAAAAACAAATAAAAGCAAAAGAATAATCAAACAGGAAAGAAAAAAAGGAAAAGATGAGTCTCAGTCACCACAACATACTGGACCGAAAGC